TATCTACTGAGGGAATTTGTCTGCAAACATCTAGTGATCACAGCGACACGTTAAACCAAATATTTTATTTGGTATAAACCCACGCAGGTGTGAACTGGAAACCTAGCAGCAAGCAATACTTTTTGACCGGCCCTTGTGTATTATAAAGAGCTGCTGTTCAATATTTTTACATGTATATTCAGCTCCATCAATTTTGTTTACCACATTGTTCAATCATCAACATTATCCATTTCCAAATTTTTCAATCTATCCTTTTAATCTCAAATCAGTTTTTGTTCTATGAATGGAGTGTTAGGGTTCATAGGAATCCCAAAGAGTTACCAGCATCCAGAGGTGTCTCAGAAGAAAAGCTCGGTGATCTACTTCTGAAAAACCAGCCATTGGCAGTGTTATGGAGCACAGCTCTGCTCCAACACACATGGGATCATCGTGAGTCACAATCAACTCCGTGGCAACTGGCAAACAGCCAGAGGGCTAGCTTCATCCAATGGCACGGATGCTTGCGGAGGTCTTGCCCTTTGGAATGTGATGCATACACTACAAACGGACCCAGTTTCCAAGTTTCTCAAAGTACGGGATCTACAGCATATGGTTCAGAACCACCCTTCCCCCCTCCAAAACCAAACCCACTGCCATCAAGTGGATTCTGACTCATGGTCACCCTGTAGGACAATTGGAGTCCTGGTATGGTGCTGTATGACCAGCACTGGACTGCAAACCATAAGGTCAGTGGGACCACAAAGTCCTTGGAAACCCTACACAGGGTCGCTATGAGTCAGAACCAACTCTACAGCATTTAATAACAGAGAACAGAGTCGAACTGCTCCTTTGGGTTTTTGAGACTACATTTTTACAGGAGTAGACAGCCTCATCTTTCTCCCCAAAACTGGCTGGTGGGTTTGAACTGCTGACCATGTAGTTAGCAGTCCAGTGCTCAACACACTGTCACAGGGCTCCTATTCCCCCACAGGAAGTTCTTTTCACTATTAAAATCTTGGTGGGTCTTGGGTAAACAGAGGAGATTGTTGTTGTTGTGAAGTGCCATCGAGTCGGTTCTGACTCATAGCGACCCTGGATAGGGTTTCTGAAGAGCGGCTGATGAGCTTGAACTACCAACCTTGCAGTTCAAACGGTTTTGCAGTCTGGTGCATTAACCCACAGCGCCACACCAGGAGATTATTCACTTGCAATCCAGAGTCTTTCATAATCTGGCCGTACCTACTTCTAAAGGAGCTCTGGTAGTGTAGTGATTAGGAGTCAGGCTGCTAACCTCAAGGTCAGCCATTTGAAACTACCAGCTTTTCCGTGGGAGAAAGATAAGGCTTTCTGCTCCTGTAAAGATTTACAGCCTTGGAAACCTTGTACACGGTCGCTGTGGGTCGGAACTGACTCCACAGCACACTACCACCACCTATTTTTACCTCTTCTTCTGTCCCCACTGTTATGGATTGAATTGTGTCCCCCCAAAAGATATGTTCAAGTCCTAACCCCAGTATCTGTGAATGTGACCTTGTCTTTAAATAGGGTCTTTGACAATGTTATCAGTTAGCATGAGGTCATATCGGAGTAGGGAGAGTCCTAGTCCCATCTGAGTGGTGGGTGTCCTCAGAAGAAGAGACAAACAGAGGAAGGATGGCCGTGCAAAGATGCACCTACAAGCCAAGGAATGGTTGGTGCTGCCAGAAGCTGTGAGAGACATGAAAGGATCTTCCTGTAGAGAATTCGGAGAAACGGTGACCCTGCCAACACCCTGCATTTCGACTTCTAGCCTCTAGAACTGAGAGACAGCCTTGTTGCTGCCAGGTGTCACTGAGTCCATTCTAATTCACAGTGTCACCTCAGGTGACAGAGTAGAACTTCCCTCCTACCCACCGGGTTTTCTTGGCTGTTAATTTTCATGGGAGCAGGTCTCCTGCTTTCTCCCAAAGAGCCACTGGGTCGGTTCAAACCAGGAACCTTTCTGTTAGCACCTGAGTGCTTAATGGTTGTATCACCTGCCCTAGGAAACAAATACACCCACACTGGCCCCAGTGGGCTACTCAGAATTCCCCACCAGGCCTGTGTACTTGCATTCATTATTCTCTCCTGGGCCTGCAACGCACTGCTTCCATGTCTCTATCAGTTCAAAAGCGAACATCTCTCAGGACCAGATGCAATTGTCTCCTAATTGGAAGTGGGTGCTGCTCTCTGTGCTCCCAGGCCCACGGACGTATTTCTACTCACCCCTCCTTTGTAGCAGACCATCCTGAGCCCACCCCTGACTGGACTGTAAGGTCCCTGAGGTCCGGTACTGGGATCAGTCACTTTTGCATCCTCCTTCCTCAACAATAGCCCTGACACACAGTTGATGTTAAGTGCTGTGGAGTAGGTTCTGACTCATAGTAACCTTGTATAGGGTTTCTGAGACTATAAATCTTTGTGGGAGCTGAAAGCCTCATTTTTCTCCTGCTGAGAGGCTGGTGGGATTGAACTGCCGACTTGAATGCAGTCCAGTGCTTATCCTCCAGAGCCACCGCAACTCCCCATAGGCAAAGTATTGTTGGTGTTATTAAGTTCCCTTGATTCGGTTCCAACTCATAGGGAGCCTATATAGGGATTCTGAGGAGCGGCTGGTGAATTTGAACCGCCGACCTTTAGGTTCAAATCGACCTTGCGGTCCAGGGCTTATCCTACAGTGCCATCCCAGGGCACACAGTAGGCCTCAATAAACGCTTCTTGGATTTGATGATTTTAAAATACAGGAACAAGTAATAGCACAAATACCATGGTGATTGATTCATATGTTTTCAAAGGCCCAGGCTTGTTTAAAGCCATCATAGGTTCTATCCATCAAAAAAATGTTCTACTCACCAGTTCTGACTTAGAGAAATGTGGAAGCTATCAAAGAGAATTGATCAGTTTATAAAATATTTGTGGCCCTGCTGGCCTGTGAGAACAAAACACAATCAATACCATTATTAGAAAGAACCAAAGGATTATAAACCAGAAAAATAGGTCTGGGATTAAAGCATTTTAGCTATATCTTCCTGAAAGATTAACATCTTGAGAGGGACAGATATTCTTTTAAAGAAATCTTTATAGCTCCCTTTGCATATCTTAGTGCTGTGACATGTCATAAGTACTCAATTTTGTCCTGGATTGAGTGAGGTGTGTGTGGGGGGGGAAATGTGTGTAGGTGGGTGTATTGGAGTCACCTTTTATGAGTTTATATTGAACAGAACAAAGGAAAAACTGATTATGCTCTGTCCTGGATTTTGCAGTAAAAGCCTGTAAAAGGTAAAGAGAAATTATACTTGTGCACCTAGCAGAACAATTTGCAGAGCTCTGAGTAAAGTACAGGCAGCGGAGCATCTACCGGTCTGCAGAGTCTGTCCCCAGGGCAGACCACTCTGAACACAGCCAGTCTTTGTCCATCATCAAATACAAGTACTACTGGCAGAACCAAGGCTCTAATGTTAGTATCGGTTTAGTATTCAAAAACACTAGCGAAGTGTGTCTTCATACCAATAAGGGAAGTTATTTCACGCAAATGAAGGCATCCCTAGTTTTTCCCAACAGCTGGAGGGAAACAGGTCCCTCCATACGATATGTATTATCTAATACACTCTAAGATGAGTCATTGTTTTCAGGGGCCTTTTTTCATACGATCTCCCTCGTACTCCATCTACAGACTCAACACAAGGACGCAGACAGTAATGTCGGTCTCACCTTAGAACATGAAAGAGAATGAAATACATCCGTGGGCCAACAAGAAGTCCCTGGGGGGTGCAAATGGTTAATGACCTTGGCTGCTAACTGTAAGGCTGGAGGTTTGATTCCACCTGAAGTCTCCTTAGAAAAAGGTGTGGTGATCTGAAAAAGCAGCTACTGAAAACCCTGTGGAGCACAGTTCTACTTTGACACACGTGTGGTCACCATGAGCTGGAGTCAGCGGTAACTGGCTGGTTTGGGTGGGTGGCCAATAGTATGCAAGGCCTGGAGTGATCATGCAGATAGATGTACACTGAAACACAGATGCACAACTAAATGTCTCAAATTGCCTGTAAATTGAATTTAAAAAAATGCACTCATATTTGCCCATTCCATAGGGACTCAAATGTGTTCTAAGCCATGGCCAGAAAATGTGGTATAGTAAGAAAATTTCTCTATGCTGATTTTTTGGATTACATGGAAAATCACAAGATTTGATATAAGTATCTAAGTTACTGGGACATTAGGATGCCTTTCCCTTCTACATGTTCAACATGCAGACCTCACACGTTGTAACAACTTTCTAGGATTGTCTTATTTACAGCATTTGGAAAGACAGATTTGAAGTCATTTGACCAAGACTATATCTAATTCCAAAAACAACCCTACTCTTATTATTAAAAAAACAAACACTGGGATTCCTAGTCAGAAAGATACTGGAGGAACCTGAAACTAAGGTCCTCAACTAGCCTTCAGGCCTCATGGCCTAATTTTCAGCCAATCAGTAGATAGGTTTGGGGGGACAACAACACTAGTAAGGTATGCTCACCAGGGAGTGATCAATCATTCAAGGTCAAAAAGGGCAACATTATTTAAGGACAAAGTTGAGAAGGAATGAGAAGGAGGGTGGACTGGAAATCGGAACCACAATGAGGAAGCGGGATGACTTGTTGCATGGAGGGGACTGTAATCATTGAGATGAAACAATGTGTATGATTTGCTGAATGGAAACCTGATGAGCTTCTCTGTAAACCGTCCCTCAATTCATCATAAAAGCTAAAACAAAAAGAAACAAAAAAAATGTATCCTTTTCAGCACCAAGAGGTTGTCTCCTTTTGAAAACAAAGGACAAAGTAGCTTCCTTTCTCACAGTGACTGGGCTGTGTGACTTATGTGGATTAGCAGCATGAAGACTGCTGTAAGGAACACTTACCACTTGGAGGTGTGTGGGAGAGACCGCTTCTCCATGGAGCAGAAAAGCCCCCCAGCCTTGCCTGGTTAAACTCTCTAAATGCACAAAATGGACTTACACTCTGAAAGTCATTCACTTCAATGGCTTCTTCGGCTCCACTTCCCATTTTAAAGGTCTCCAAGTTGTTCCCAGCATCTATTTCCATTGACCCGTCTTGTAATTTCCCATTGATACTCATGCTGTAATGGACATTGTAAATCTGGAAGGGAACACAAGAGTCAGTGACGTTTTCTTTTTCAAGCACTTCGAGGCTTATCTTCAGACCTGCAGCATAAAAGACAGCTTCCATATTTTTCAGAGATACACTGAAGCATCCTTAACAGTAATGCATTAATATACTAGGACTTCACCCATACACTAATTACGTAATACAGTGATTTTTAAAAAGACCTTCATAGTAAAATCTCTGATATGTGTTCAAACAGCTCAATGATTCGCAATCCTGGCTGCTCATTTGAAGATTCTGGGTAGAATTCTCAGCTACGATGCCTGGGTTTCATCACCCCAAACCAATCAAATCCTAACCTTCAGGGGTACGACTTAGTTCCTGAGTAACAAAAACAGCAATGAGAGGCTACTAACAGAAAGGTTGGTGGTTCCAATTCACCCAGAATCACTTCACAAATATTCAGCCACTGAAAATCCTATGGAATGCAATTCTACCCTACATATGGGGTCATTATGAGTTGGAATCAACTTGATGGCATCTGTTTTTATTTTGGGGTGGGGGGTGGCAGTGTTGGGACTTAGGCATGGTATGTCTTTTCTAAAGCTCTACTCTACTGTTCAGCTGGAGTCCTGATGTGGTGCTGTAGGATCAGCACTGGACTGGGAACCACAAAGTCGGCAGTTCAAACCCACCAGCTGCTCCTCGGAAAACCTATGCAGGGTTGCTATGAGTTGGTACTGACTCGACGGCACTTAACAACAACAACTGTCTATCAATAGACCCACAGCAACTGGGGAGACAGAGGGTTACCCCTATGGCATTTGTGTCTGAGGGGTTGGGCAGTCCTTTGGCCCAGTGTCAGCCTGGAGTGTGGTCTGCAGTAAGGACAGTAAGCACAGAAGCATTTGTAGAGATCAAGGTCAATGTGTGCATCTGTTTCAGTTCAACATTGTAATGGGACAGGCATGTTGTGTGATAGGAATTTTGTTATAATGAGATGCTTGCAGTGTGTGGGGAGCAGGAAGGGGAGCTAGCATTGTGGAAGAATCAGAAGACCACTCAGTCACAACACTTAACACCGCACCCACCCCACTTGCATCTGGGGAGCTGGCTGAGAGAACAACAGAGACATTGCACTCCGTAGATGGTCCTGCATTTATCTATGTCCCCAGAGTTCTGAGGTCTCACAGGATGGGAGTGAGAGCAGAAGGGACTTGGAGACTCCCTTCTCCCCTGTTCACTCACAACTCAATCACAGAGGTTCTGCTTTCCAAGTTTTGTGTTGGATTTCTGAGTTAGATTGGCTTAGGGAAAAAAGATCTGGCCACTCACAATTTTTTCTTTATTGTTAAGTTTACCACTAAATCAGATAATTCAAAGGGTTTCTCCTAATTTAGACATCCTGCTAGAATGCTGATTAAATTTAAAAATATATATTTGCACGTTGCTCCTGAAATGGAATCTTGGTGTAGCGCTATAGGATAAGCACTGGACTGCAAAGTTGGTTTGAACCCAAAGGTCAGTGGTTCAAACCCACCAGCTGCTCCTCAGAAGCCCTAGACAGATTTGCTATGTGTCAGAACCAATAAGAAGTAGCCCCTGAATACTGCAGAAGACTGTAAGATACTGTGTTGCCTTGCTAGAGCTTTCTGTGTGTTGTGGGGCTTGGGGGCAGGCATCTTTTCTTTCTCCCCTCTCCCCTAGCTTGGAGGCGTACAGATCTTTAAAGGGAGAGGGATGAGAATGGGAAAAGACGGTGGCCCCTTCAAGGGAGGTCGGGAGGTCAGAGCTATAAATAGCTCAGATTCAATTTAAGTCTTGAGTTTTCTCCCTCATTATGAGGAATGTCTGCTACATGAACCAACAGTGAGAAAAGTTATCTGCTGTTACTGGTTCATTAGTTGCAGAAAACTCATTATTACAGGATCCACAAAGCCCTATTGTGTTTTGCTCTGCAGGACCCTTTCAGGCACCAGTTTTCCATTCAGCAGAATAAATAATAGAAGGGGTCGTCAAAAAATTCTTGGGAAAATTCCATTATTTTTCCAATTCCATTTTCCCATGAACTTTTGAAGGCCCTCATATTGGCATCTTTGTTGTTGTTAAGTGTCATTGAGTCGATTCCGACCCATAGCAACCCTGTATAGGGTTTCTGAGGAGCAGCTGGTGAGCTTGAACTGACGATCTTGCAGTTCAAATGGCTTTGCAGTCTGACATATTAACCCACAGTGCCACACCAGGACTCCATATTGGCATCTTAGAGGGTGCAAATGGTTAGCCAAAAGGCTTGAGGTTTGTGTCTGCCCAGAGACACCTTGGGCAAAAGGCTCAGTGATCTACTTCTGAAGACTCAACCATTGAAAACTCTATCAATCACAGTTCTACCATGACACACATGTTGTATAGGGTTTCCAAGGAGAGGTGATGGGTTTGAACTGCCAACCTTGCAGTTAGTACTCCAGTACTTATCCAACATCACCAAACCAAGACTCCTGGCACACATGAAGGGTCATGAATCAGGGTCGACTGGACGGTAACTGGTTATTTCTACTCAAAAAAATCTCTGACGGCCCTTCTTCTGATAAACTTAAACCCAAAAAGCCCACTTCCATAGAGTGGATTTTCTGATGAGCTTAGATTCCTGCCCAGTTCTCCCAAGTTTGCCTGATCATCACAAGCGCTTTGAGGAATTCTGATTTAGCAGCTGGAGCAGAGCCCACCAATCTGGTTTCACTTTGCATCTCAGGTGGTCTGTATCACAGAAGCTTAGGAAATCTGTTTTCTTTGGCTGAGCCAGTGTTCTCTGCAGCTCAGGCTTTAGAAAGCAGGCTCTGTTCTGTGGCTGTGCTCTGTGAGTGGCCACTATTCCCGTGTGTTAATTACAGCTGTCAAAGGGAACACGGCAGACAGCACCCTGTGAGCTCCTGCTGGCCCCAGTGTCCTGCACTCAGAAGGCCAGAAGCTCTTCTCTTTGAAGCATTGCACACAAGCATTTGCTGGTAAAGCAGTGCAAATTTTAAGAAATGAGTAGTTTCTAAAAATTTTTAGCAAGCTTTTAGGAGCAGAGAACTCTAGAAGAGTGGACTACGATTCACATCACACTTTTCTCCACCTCCCCAACTCAACACCTCCATTCCCCGCAGCACACCAGTACCAGCTGCCATTGAGTTGACAGACTCGTGTGTCAGACCAGAACTAGGATCCATAGCTCATTTTTTGAATGTAAGATTACCAGGCCTTTCTTCTGAAGCACCTTTGGGTGAACTGGAACCCTTGACCATTCTTGTAAGCAGTGTGTTAACCATTGGTACCACCCAGGAACCTTCCTTCTCCCCAAACAAAACTCCCTAACTAGTGATTGTACCCTTTGTAGTGCTACATCAGCCCATCATTGGTAGTCTGTAGGGGGCAGCAATGAGAGGCCTGTGCACTCCTGAAGCAATGGGTGGCCAGTAAGCAGTTGTTTTCCAAGTACTAGAGCTCAGGAGGCGGCTGGGCTGGTGAAGCAGCAATCACATTATCTATTCTCTGCCCACGGAACAGTTGGCACCTAGGGCTATTTCTATCCAAGTACAATGAAGTTTATATTTGCCAAAATTCTGCTCAGTAGGGTGTCTTTTGCTATCAAGGATATTTGCTAACGAGTTTTTAATAAAGCCTGAATTCAGTATGATTAATTACAGAATATTTTGAGGGGATGTCTAGTAAAATGCATCTGCGAAGAAAGCCTACAAACAGTACTCCCTTTTCCTCATCCCAGTTACTTTTCATATTGCTGGGAATTTCCCATATTTCAATGCACTGTCCCATTGGATGAGAAATAGCATCAATATTTGAACCGAGTCAGTTGTTCTCTGCTTATGAGCTTCATTGTCTTCCGAGTAAATTCAAGTGAACCAGTCCTGAGGGGGATTTACCCTTATGAAAGGGATGCTGTAGTTAAGTGCCATTGCGTTGGTTTGGATTCATAGCAACCCTGTATAGGGTTTCTGAGGTGCAGCTGGTGGATTTGAACTGCTGACCCTGAAGTTCAAACCAACTTTGTGGTCCAGTGCCACACCCATGACAAGGGAGTGGGGGTTGTAGAGTTGGTTCTGACTCATAGTGACCCTACATAGGGTTTCTGAGGCTGTAAATCTTTATGGAAGCAGAAGACCTCATCTTTCTCCCATGAAACAGCGGGTACTTTCGAACTGCTGGCTATGAGATTAGCAGCCCTACTCGTAACCACTACACCACTACACTACCAGAGCTCCATATGAAAGGGATAGGTGAATTACTATTGATCTTCCTCTATAAACCAGTAGAAGGGGTAGTTGTTGTTTTTGTTAAGTACTGTTGAGTCGGTTCCAACTCAAAGTGACTCTGTATAGGGTTTCCAAGAAGTGGCTGCTGGGTTTGAACTGCCAACCTTGTGGTTAGCAGTCCAGTGCTTATCCAACAGTGTCACACCAGGACTCCATAAGCAGACAGAATTTATGGACTAGAGGCACAGAAAATCCTCTAAGAGTGGATAATCCATTTAGTTTGGGGATGCCTTTCTGTTTGACAGAGACTTACTTAGCTTTTTTGATTATGTTTTATTGGGTTATTTAGACTGGTGTTCAAGAACAGCAAACTCATGTATGTGCTGTACATAGATAGTGCCACATTTACTCTGGTGTTTTGTGATTGTTTTCAGACTTCAGTATTAGGGATCATCAGCCTCAGAGATTTTCTTTTTGGGGGTGGGGGAGGACTACGATTTTCTTCATTCTTCTGCTAGTATAGAAAACAGCAATAACTTTGTTGGCAATAAAATGTGATTTATTCTTCCTCTGTACTTTTAGAATTTAATACTACACTTTGAACCAGACAACCAACCATCTTGCAGTTAAGTCAAATATACCAATAAAGGGAGTTTCACTTATTCAACCTCCCTTTCTAGAAGCTTGCCAGCTAACTATTGCTTGCCTTGAATAATTAAATCCCAAATGGTATTTATTTTAATATAGACCATGTTCAAAATCCTTACTCCCAAAAAAAAGCAAAGCTGATTTTGTCCCCAAATGACCTATACCATTGAGGCTTTGTCATCTGGAAGATAGCATTTACATTCCAATACCATAAAATTTCCCAAAGGGATGACAATCTAAAGTCCACTATTAATGGAGATGTAGATATTGAAATTGGTTCTCATGTTCAGATTTGCTGCTTTCAAATATGAGCATCTGGCCCAGCTTCTATATTTAAAATACAAATACATTAAGGCACTTTTCAAATATACACAAACTACTGTGCAATCCTAATCTTACGAATCACTGCTTGCAAATTTGATCTAGTCTCTAAACCAGACTCAGTGCTAAGTGGCATGCTTATCTACATTAGGCATTTGAGTTAAAAATACAAATTATGCACTGTCTGTGGAAGATGTGATGTGTAAAATGGTTGAATTGCTTTCAGCACCATTTTCTCTAAGTACTGGAATTCGTTCATGCTTTGAATTTCAAGGTGGGAAAAGGGGGGGAACAGCAGTCGGAGATCCTGCCAGGATAGTGAGGAAGAAACAGCCTTTTGTGTGCACCTGGGATGCGGAATTCTTTTCCATTAGCAGAAGGAAGCTCATACCAGACCTGGCAAATGGTCATCAAGATAAAATAGCCCCTTTTATATAGATGAACAAAATTTGGAGTATTTTGAGACACACTGAAATTCTGCCCAGTAAAGTTCAAAACAGTTTTCAGATTCTTTGGGAGTCTGTGGAACTTTAAAATAAATAGTTAATACAAGAAAGGACAGCAGTTAGTGAAACGTCTACCATAAAATCACATGTGACCCGCCAGAATCGATTTTTTAAACATGATTTGCCACCTGGAAGAAAGGGAGACTTTTTTTTTTTTTTTTAAACAGCAAGAAGGGATCCTTTACTGGAGAGGTCATAGACCAACAAAGAAACCAAAACCCTCCTGAAAGGGAAAATTCCTCTCCAATTACTGGGTCTTACTATTATTCCTCCAGGACTCCTGGTGTGGCTCTGTGGGTTAATGCGCCAGACTGCAAAGCCGGTCGAACTGCAAGGTTGGCGGTTCAAGCTCATCAATTGCTCCTCGGAAACCCTATACAGGGTCGCTTTGGGCTGGAATCGACTCCACGGCACACAGCCACCATCACCTTGCGGTTAGCAGTCCAATGCTTACCCTACAGCTCCACACCAGGACCCCCTGATCACAGCCAAAAAAAAAAAAAAAAAAAAAAATGCTGTGCATTGCAGTTCCCCTCTGATGCACATGGGGTCTCTCTATGTGGGGGAACCAGCAGATAGGAATTTTTGTTTGATCTTTGCCCTAGGTTCGTGTATGAGCAGGCTTTCTTAGCAGATAAAGGCCTTTGAGATATTTTCCAGGTCTTCTTTTAAGGCCTGAGAGATGGTGTGCCTTAGCCAAGGTCACACAACTGCTCAGGGGAAAATCCAGGCCAAGGTAACTGAGAAGGGCTTTCCCCACTACACTCGGTTTTGACGGAACGCTGGTGGTACAGTGGTTAAGCGCTCGGCTGCTACCAGAAAGATCGGCGGTTGGAACCTACCAGCCGCTCCACTGGAGAAAGCAATGGCAGTCCCTTACTGTAAAGATGAGAGCGTGGGAAATCCTATGGGGTACTTCTAATCTGTCCTATAGGGTCACTGAATCGACTGGAGGTCAATGGGTTTTAAGCTCAGTTTCAACACCATTCTTTAAAATTCTGACCTGCTTTTCTACAAAGTTGCCAATGAGCGGAAAACAGGGTAGCAGTTGCGTGGAAGAAGGGTGAAGGGGACACACCGGCAGAAGATAGACAGAGATGCCTAAAAGGGAGGAGAGGGCGAGCGGCCTCGGCACCCACCAGCACTCTGGCTCCCTCACGGTGGGGCTGCCAGCGATGCAGAGAGGACCTCGCCACCTATTGCGTCTCTCTGGACTTACGTGATTGTCGCTCCCCTTCCAGAAGTAGAAGGCTCCGATGGCCCCAAAGAGCAGCAGCACCGCCCCGGAAATGAGGACCACCGCTCCAACCTTGAGCAGCCGCGCGGGGCTAGAGGGCTTCACCGTCACGGTGGCGTACACCTGAGGGCCGGACCCAGAGCGCCAGGTCACGTCTACGCCGCACCATCGGACCCCACGCCCACCCGGACCCTGAGCGGTGACCTCTGGGAATCGAGATGTAGATATTAAGATCTCCTCCAGCCGTCTCCTTTCCCCAGGGTCCCTGGGACTCCAGTGAGGAAGGACGACAAACAAACTTCTTGCAGTGCAGGGCCACTAGCCCCCCACCTGACTCCTGTTCCGCTGCCCACCCCAAGCCTCACCGGTGGATTCCGTGCACCCTGCGCCCAGTAGCGCGGGGCGATACTCCGCGTACACATTTGGACACCCAAGTTTGCGCACCCTCATTTCCCCACAACACATTCGGTGGCACAAATCCCTGATTCCCGCAGTAGATCCAGACCCTCGTGTGGACTAGCCGGGCAGCCAACCTGGGGATCCGGGGGCTATACTCACAGGGGAGCTGCAAAGCTCGACGTCGTCAGGCCCCACCAGGGCGATAGGAACTTTGTCCGAGTTCTCCGCCATGGCTGACGCCGGGTGAGCGAGACTCTGGGATCCTCTGTGTGTGCGCTGGGATCTGTCCTGCTCCCCCGACGGACCGGGCATTCCAACGCCCAGAACAGGCGCGCGCACACACCGGACACTGTCCCGCCTGGGCCAGCCCGGAGGAACCCCCACCTTTCAGCGCCACACCTCTCCCTTCCCCTCTCCCGCCCGCCTGGACCTGCATTCGAGGACGCCCTTCCTTGCTCTCTCTTGGGTGTGCTGCCCCACAAAAAGCATCCTAGCAAACCAGAGTGGGGAAGAACAGGATTGCTGAGTTCTGGGATCCCAAAATATACTAAATTCCCAGGGCTCTTTCTATCATCCAAGACCTCTTAGAATTCCAGAGGGCTTTTGCTGTGGACACCTGGTTAGATAGAGATTATTTCCTTCAGAGTCTTGTATAGGTGAGTTGGGAATTGGCGTCATTCCAGTTGTTGTGCAGGTGAATAAAGGATGATGGTCAAATTTGCCCTAGTTATGCCACCTTTGAAGGTTCCCTCTGTTGTGTGCCATGCAGTGGATTCTGACTCATAGCGACCCTATAGGACAGAATAGAACTGCCTCGGAAACCCTAGGGAACAGTTCTACTCTTCCCTATAGGGTTTGGGAGTCAGAATTGCCTTAACAGCAGTAGGTTTGATGTTTCTGGTCAAGTCTTTATAGAAATGAGCCTTGGTGGCATACTGGGTTAAGTGAGCTTTTAACAGTGAGGTCAGCATTTCAAACTCACCAGCTGCTCCGTGGGAGGAGAGATGAGGCTGTCTGCTCCCTTAAAGATTTCGGTGTCAAAAACCCTCCGGAGCAGTTCTACTATGTCTATAGGGTTGCTACAAGGCAAAATCCATTCAACACTAGTGGGTGGTTGTTGTTAGGTGCCATCGAGTCGGTACCGACTCATAGCGACCTTAAGCACAGCAGAATGTAACACTGCCCTTTCCTGGGTCAACCTCACTATAGTTGCCATGCTTGAGCCCCTTGATGCTGCCACTTGGCCAATCCATCTTGTTGGGGGTCGTCCTCTTTTTCTCTGACCCTCTACCTTACCAAACATGATATCCTTCTGTAGTGGTGGGATTTTTATAGACACAGACGCTCACATTTTTCTCCCAGAGTGACTGGTGGGTTTAAACTACTGTCCTTTGGTTAGCAGCTGAGTTTCTAACCTTGCACACCCAGGGGTCCTTGAAGGTGGATCAAAATGGTCTGTGCTACTACTAAACTAAGGAGTTCTGGTAGCGTAGTGGTTACGAATCGGGCTGTTAATCTCAAGGTCAGCAGTTCGAAACTACCAGCTGTTCCGTGGGAGAAAGATGAGGCTTTCTGCTCACGGAAAGATTTATAGCCTCAGAAACCCTGTACAGGGTTGCTATGAGTCGGAACCGACTCCACGGCACATAACAACAACTACTACTAACCTAAGGAGCACTGTGGCTCTGTAGGATAAGCACTGGACTGCTTACCATAAGGTCAGTAGTTCGGGCCCAACAGCTTCTCTGCAGGAGAAAGATGAGGCTTTCTGTGCTGATAAAGAAATGCAGCCTTGGAAATCCTATTCAGGGTCACTGTGAGTCCGTCAGTTTGTCTTACTGTGGTGGCTTGCATGTTGCTGTGATTCTGGAAGCTGTGCCAACGGCACTTTAAATACCATCAGGGTCACTCACAGTGAACAGGTTTCAGATGAGCTTCCAGACAAAGACAGACTAGGAAGAAGGAGTGATGGACTACTTCCGAATATTTAGCCACTGAAAACCTTATGAATAGTAGTGGAACACAGTCAGATAACACCAGAATATTGACTATTGAAACATGGTGAAGAGCACCAGAAATCCTTACCACTAAGCAACATCCATGTAAATGGGGAAATGATTGATGTTGTCAAAGACTTCATTTTGCTCAGATCAACATCGAAGCAGCAGTCAGTAAATTAAACGACATATTGCATTAGGCAAATCTGCTGTACAAGATCTCTTTAAATTGTTCAAGAGCAAAGATGTCAGTTTGAGAACTATTGACCCAAGCCAGGGTATTTTCAATAACT